AACTTTTTTACCGTTGTGTGCCTTGCGATCATCGCATCAAATTTTACACGTCCATGTCGACATAATTATGGGCCGAGCCAAGCAAAATGTGGCTTAGGCATAATAAATAAAAGGGAGTTTGTCAACTGACAACCGCTCTATTTAGTTGCTATTCACTCTTTAGAAGGAAATTCTTTTATTAATAATGTTGAAAATTACTGACGTTTCACCCATTGTTTCACCCATCGTCAGACCCTGACGATTGGTGACTGGCCCGAAACGTCGATAAAAGACTACAACTATAAGGAAAAGAAGTTCAGAGATACTTCCCTCTCTTTTTCTTGTCACTACGTTTTTGTCCCTTATTGGATTTGCATGCTGTTTTCTTGACTCCTCACATCTATTTTTTCGTGTCTCTTCTACACATAATTTGAATGATGTATCTCTGAACTTCTTTTCCTTATAGTTGTAGTCTTTTAGCTTATTTCCATCATTCCTTGTAGTATTTTGACAAGAAGGGAACGAAAACGTTCAATACTTTAACACATGTCCTAATAATTGGCTGGTGTTGACTCTTGCGTAGATGCATGCGTAGATAATACATTTCTTGTAATAATTTTATTTATATATATCTTGATATATGAGCCAGGGACTATAGAAACCGCCCTACGACGTTTGATATCAAAATCAAGTTATGACGTTTCAAAGTCACGCGACTCAAAGTTACGCGAAGCGCAGAACTCGTCACTTTTGTTTTGACAAGACTCAAGAGCTGTCCTCTTGTTAGGTGTTCGGGGAAGGATTCCGAGCTCAAGCGATTGTCGAGAACTCATGAGGCTCCACTTACTGTGATTGATTATGGCTACAACATCTAGTAGACGACGCAGCTCGATTCTGTGTGGAGTTGACTAGTCCCTGATGCGAAGGCGCTTGAATCGGACGACGAGAATTTTTACGGATTCAGCGCTGGCACCCGTGAGTCGTCCGCGAGCGATTCAGACACCGATGCTGACAGCGACGGCGATGATATGCCACCTAAGAAGAAGACGTATGGAGTCACAGCAAGCTCGAGTGCTGCTAGTGTCGTGTCGCAAACGCCAAGCCCCGACAGCTCGGAAAATTCAAACGCGGAGAGTGACACCGACTACTCGGAATTGGATGACGAACCAGATACCCCCGCACCTGAGCCACCGACGACGGAGCTGGTGAAGCGTGGTCTCCTCAGACATACGCGATGGGATTGAGAGAGGCTGTGGATGCAAGTCGAAGTATCATTGGAAAGTCATTCCAGAGCAGCAGCTCGAGGACTACATATTTGAAGTCTCTAAACTGCGAGAATCGAAAAAGCGCTTCAACAGTTCAAACAGTTTGTTCTGGGCGCACTGACTGGAAGCATGCGAAAGTCGATGACTGGCGGTGGTGATCGACCTTTCTATTTCCGCTATCATGTACGTGGTTACGAAATGTGCAAAGACGTGTTCATGGCAGTTCATGCTGTTGGAAGTCATGTAATGAAGCGCCTTCAAAAAGGCAAACAAAGGAGTCGTTCAACTGGCACAACATGGCTTGACTGGGAGAACACCAGAGCACTTGGCCATTTCAGCAGACATAGAGCAGGATGTAGTGCAGTTTATTTAGTCATAATTATGCTAACATGTACGGTCTACCTCAACCTGCAGCGGAGCGAGGTCGTGCTGAGGACCCTCCAGTATACTTACCAGCATCCGAGAACAAGAAGTCTGCATACAACATCTACACCAAGACCGTCACACAGTATTCGCCTGTTCATTACAGTTCATTTTGCCACATTTGGAGGAGACAGGCAGCACATATCAAAGTGATGCATCCAAGGACAGACGTATGCGCATTGTGTGACAATCTGCGGTACAAAATTCGTGTCGCCCGTACAGAGGAAGAGACGGAATGTAGTGTCCAGGCGCTGCGTTCGCACACATCGCTAGCACAAGAGGAGCGGCAGTACTACTGAGATTTAGTGGACGGCGAGCAGGCGTCACTGGATGAAGCTGAGGGCATAGTTCACTATACATTTGAACTGCCTAACTAGCAAGAATGAAGATATACAAAGGACATTACATACTGTGTACATAAATTTGCTCTTTATCGCTCAATTGATATGCCATTATTAAATAGGTGGTTAGGCACATTTTACCATCGCAGATCAACTTGAAATTTTGTTTGAGCACATTACCATACCATACCAACATTTTGAGAGAAAAAAATTTCGGCAAAAAGTGCCATAGGGTGGTTTCTGTAGTCCCTGGCTCATATTATATGTAGAAAGGAAAAGGACATAAGGATACGAGTTAAGAGTAACTCTCCATCACTGTAATTGGATACTATATACAGTCAGAAAGTGCAATAACTAGGCACACAACTGACAAGAGTACTGAGACATTCAACGTCCTGACACCGGAGATGTGTTGAAGCTAGGTGTCAGGACGTCGAATGTCTCAGTACTTTTGTCAGTTGTGTGCCTAGTTATTGCACTTTCTGACTGTATATAGTATCCAATTACAGTATTATTATATTATATTATATTATATTATTATATTATTTTATTATAATAGTATCCAATTACAGTATTATTATATTATACTCAATCTAGTATCAATAGTATCCAATTACAGTGATGGAGAGTTACTCTTAACTCGTATAATGGGATTGGATATGGGGTGGATACAGGTGGATACAAGTGTAAGGCTTAGCGGGGCCCTGGTATGTAATCTTTGGACCAACTTGCCGGTTGGGAATTGTTAGAAACTTAGTGCTAGATGCCTATAGCATAGGGGAGGCAGTGTGTGCAATTTGTCAAGGTGCTAGCTGTTGGATTCCTGCACTACACAAGAGCCAATTAAATCCGAGGATAATATAGCACAGCCTTTTTGGCGGTGCTATATTATACTCAATCTAGTATCAATAGTATCCAATTACAGTGATGGAGAGTTACTCTTAACTCGTATCCTTATGTCCTTTTCCTTTCTACATTTATTTATGGCTCAACATTCGAGTTTCAAATTGCACACTTGATATAATTATACGTCAACAAACAATGGATCACTCGTAGTGTCTTCTACTCTGAGTTTCATGCACTGTGTGCAATCATTAGGCAAACAATATTCAATGCAAATTGGTCACAGCATAATGGGATTGGATATGGGGTGGATACAGGTGGATACAAGTGTAAGGCTTAGCGGGGCCCTGGTATGTAATCTTTGGACCAACTTGCCGGTTGGGAATTGTTAGAAACTTAGTGCTAGATGCCTATAGCATAGGGGAGGCAGTGTGTGCAATTTGTCAAGGTGCTAGCTGTTGGATTCCTGCACTACACAAGAGCCAATTAAATCCGAGGATAATATAGCACAGCCTTTTTGGCGGTGCTATATTATACTCAATCTAGTATCAATAGTATCCAATTACAGTGATGGAGAGTTACTCTTAACTCGTATAATGGGATTGGATATGGGGTGGATACAATCTATGGGCAGAACTGTTTCATCCTTTGTGGACTCATCAGCTCAGCACAGAGAAAAGGAGGCCGAACAAAAAGATATCATGGCCAGCAATCGAGGATATCTGAGAGTTGTAATTTTTGTACTCCTCCGAGGTGTGATTTTTGGCGTGCTGGGCCAAGCACAAGGAAGACATCTGCAAAAAAACTGCAGAAAATGGTTGTTGTTTGATCCTTTGGTGTAATCTTTGTTTCTAGTCGAAGCTAGTTGCTGTTTGGAGCAGAAACGCTGAAATTGACTATTTTCTGCATGTCCTCATACATGTACTCATGTACTCAGGCATGCAGTCTCACTCGTATTTTAGCTCTTTTTCTGGAATGGATGCTGCTCTGCGCCCCTTGGTGAACATTTCCTGCGCTCGTGGAGCAGCTGAAAAGGACCACTGGTATGTCTGGTTCCTGGTTTGAAAGTGGAGAGTCGACTTTAGTGCCTTGAAAAAGGAGTAGAGAGCGATAAAGGTACGTCTGTGGCTTATTTTTGAGTGTTCCTCGTACAGAACAAATTCAGACCAAAGTCAGCGCGATGATGATCGTACAGTTTTCTTGTGGATTTTTAGTTGTTTCATCTCGTATCTATGTCAGTATCTCGATGGTGAAGTGGAGAGGGTGATTTTCTTCCTCTAGGCTTCGTTCGGCCGACTTTGCTTCGTCCTCGTTGAAAAGTGATCCTGAAAAAGGTCGATTCGCAAAATTATGTTGATTTTCAATGTACGTGATGACATGCGATTGCTGGCTATGAAACGCATCAAGGTGCTGCATCATTCGTGAAAACCCCTCCCATGTCTCGACCATTTATAACTAAGTTTTACAACAAATCCATAACTTACCAACGGTATCTGGCAGAATCAAATTCAGTGAAAGGACAATGAGTAGAACCAAGCTGCCTGTTGTCAATCACATCAAAGAGAACAGAGCAATTTTAAAGTTAATTTGCCTTTAGGTTAATACTAGCAGTGCTGATTTCAGGGCAAACATTAGTGCCCCGGCAGATCCCCACCTTTTCACTACCAGCTTGTGAAACCAGCTGGTGTGGTGTGATCGTGGGAGCGTCTAAACAAGTAACCAAAAAGTTAACCCTTTGTGCGCTCAACGAGCGATTTCGCTCGTTTCAAATGCGCGTCACATTTTTGATCGTCGCGCTTGACTGGTTTACCGCATCGCGCCGAGACTTCACCACCGCGTACCTGAGAAAATTTCCGTGACGTAGGTACTAAACATGATGTAGGTCGCCACTAAAATTTTTTTGATAGCACGCTTTGAAAGAGCCTTTGCAATTATGTCAAAATTAGAATTTGGACTTATCCAGCGATGGATGCAGACGAGGCGCTTCGCCTAATACAAGACGCGGACCAAGCAGATCTCCCAGTAGAGGATATCGCTTGCTCTTCAGGCGACGAGGTAGGTGACTCGGACAACGATTTTATTTCGTCTGACGAGGAAGATCGCCTGAATGACGATCTCTTTTCCGACTTGGAGCAAATAGGATCCGATTCGGCTGACGATATCGCTATTCCTGTTCCCGTCGCTGCTCGTGGACGTGGCGCTGGACGAGGCAGAGGCCAAGCAGTAGGTGTCCCCGCGCGTGGAAGAGGGCGAGGACGTCGAGCTGCGACAGGGCGAGGACATTGAGCTGCGACAGGGCGAGGACGTGGAGCTGCAAGAGGGCGAGGACGCGGAGCTGCAAGAGGGCAAGGACGAGGACGTGGTATACAGTACGAAAATTGTAGTGGCTATGATGATGTTGACCAGCTGCAAACCAATACACCTGAGTTCAACATAACTGGCACTGGTTTGAACCTACCTGATAATTTCGCTCCAACATGTGAACTTGATTTCTTCAAACTATATTTCCCGGACGAAGTTGTGGATTCAATTGTCAAGTTTACAAATTTGTATGCGCACGAGCATATCGCTGAAAAAAAGACGTACCAGACGGATGGTGTGTGGAAGGAGACCAACCGTAATGAGTTTTACGGCCTCCTTGCATTTCTCTTCTTCCAGGGATTTCATCCTCTGCCTGCGACGAGGGACTACTGGCGCGTTACGTCGTTGTACAACGGAAACTATGCACGCTGCATGATTCGAACCTACCGGAGGTACTTAGCGCTGATGTGCTTCATCAAGATTGTGGACTTCAGGGCAGAGGATATAAATGATCGACTTCGTAAGGTGCGATACCTTCACGACCAGCTGCAGGCGGCCTGCAAGCGTTTGTTCATCCCTGGCAAGTGCGTTAGTGTTGACGAGCGCATGGTCAAGTGCAAGGGACGCGCTCCTTTTACACAGTATATGCCCAAAAAGCCCGTCAAATGGGGCTTCAAGGTCTTCGCTGCCTGCGACGCCCAAACCTCCATTGTTGTAAACTTTGAAGTTTACACAGGCCAGCAACCTGGAGGTGAAAATGGCCTGACTCATGCTGTGGTGATGCGGCTGGTCAGTGACGTGCGCGCCGGAAGTGTGATCTACACGGACAATTTTTACACTTCCGAAACCCTGGCCACATCTCTTCGTACCAAGCAAATATCGTTGGTTGGCACCGTCCGCGCGAACCGCACTGGATTTCCAGCCGTATTGCGGACCGACATGAAACAGTTCGAGAAACATGCAGAGCGAGGTGCAACACGCTATGTTCGCAACGGAGATCACCTGTACCAGCAATGGAAGGACAAGCGGTGTGTGTCAATGTACAGCAACATACATCAGGGCCATGAGCATGACACAGTAACAAGAAATGTCAAGATTGATGGTGCACACCAGCAAATGGAAGTGCAGAGGCCAATGTGCATCAGAGACTACAACAGCAGCATGGGTGGAGTCGACACGTTCGATCAGCTGATCGAAACGCACCGTGTGCTTCGCAAAACGAAGAAATACTGGAAGAGTCTCTTCTTGGATATGGTCGACGTGTGCGCTGTCAATGCATACCGCCTCTTTCACTTGTGGCAGAGCCAGCATCCAGGGGTGATAAGTCGACGATGCAACTTGCAGCACTCGGATTTCCGCTGTAACCTCATCCGGCAGCTGTCATCGATTGATGAGCATGCACCGCCACCGAAGCGCTCGTATCGCCCAGTGCCTGTTCCGCAGGATGTCCAGGTTCCTGTTGCTCAGCTTCACATACCTGGAGTGAGGAAAAGGAAGAACTGCAGAAACTGCACAGAAGTGAGTAACAAGCAGCACCAGTGTGTAACCTACTGCACTACGTGCGATGTTCACCTCCACATCACGAGCGACCACGACTGCTACGCCGCTTACCATGCACGCCACTTCCCGTGAAGGATATCTTATCTCAGTGCTGTGAGTTTCTATCTTGTCTACTGTATATTTGTACATAAAAGTATGGTTTCATTTTCTTCCTATGGTGCGCTCTGTAAATAACGCGGCTATACACTTGATTATGACAATATGTGCCTAATATGGCAACATTGGTAACCATGGCAACATTCTAACATAGTTTTTTGGATTCAGCCGAACGATTCCATTCAGAAAAACACATATTCTAATTACATATTCTCAAAAACTGTGGAGTTACAGGGGATTATTGTCGGAATGGAAAATTTGGTCATTTTCTCCGAAACCAGTGGACTCACAAAGGGTTAACTGGGACTGGAAATGATAAAGGATCCGGGCCGAAGCCGGATAAGGGCATTGTAGCAAGATACAGCAATAGAGGGATGGAAACTGGGACGGAAAGCGAATCCGATGGCGCCAGAGACGGGACGGTATGAGAAGAGGATGGAGACGCGGCAGAGACAGACAGAGCCGGATACATGGTTGAGAGACAGAGATGAGAAAGGCTATGGGACGGAGTGAGAACGTCGACAAAAAGGTTGAGGAGACCTGGGGCAATGCGGGAAGGATAAGATCGAAGGAGACAGGAACAGTTGGAGAGGGGAGGATGGAGGCGAATTTGAGAATAGGGCACAGGCAAGGGGACGAGATATGGTGGGAGCAGACCGACACATACAGAGAGAAGAGATGTAGACAGGTGCTGATAATGGAAGTGAGACCATGGTACGGCCATGGACAGAAAATGGGACAGGGTAACAGACAGAGAAAGAGACATAGACAGGGACCGTGACAGAGACAGAGGCAGACACAGAGGCAGAGATAGAGACAGAGGCAGAGAGACAGAGGCAGAGACAGGGACAGAGACGGGGACAGGGAAGAAGATGGAGACGAAGACGAAGACGAAGACAGGGACGGAGACGAAGTCGTAGACGGAGAAAATAGAGGGAGATAGAGACAAACAGAGCCAGGAACAGAGACAAGGACAGAGACGGAGACAAAGACGGAGACGATGACGGAGACAGAGACGGAATCGGAAAGGGAGACGGAGATGTAGATGGAGTCAGAGACAGAGAAAAGAGACGTATATGGAGATAGAGACAGAGAGGAAGACGGAGACGGAGACTGGGACAGAGACAAAGACAGAGGCTAAGACAGAGAGTTGGAGACAGAGAGGAGACGGAGTCAGAGACGGAGACAGAGACAGAGAGGAGACGGAGTCAGAGACGGAGAAAAGAGACAGAGACAGAGACAGAGACGGAGACAGAGACAGAGACAGAGACGCACACAGAAACAGAGACGGGGACGGAAACGGAGACGGGGACAGAGACAGAGACAGAGAGAGAGGCAGTGATAGAACAGAGACAGAGAGAAAGGCAGTGATAGAACAGAGACAGACATATACGCAGAGGCAGAGACAGAGGCAGAGACAGGAACAGGCACAGGGAAAGAGACAGAGGCAGAGATCGGGTCAGGAATATAGACAAAAAGAGACAGAGGCAGAGACAGAGGCAGAGAAAGAAACATAGACTGAGACAGAGGCAGAGAAAGACACAAAGGCAAAGGCAGAGGCGGAGACATAGGCATAGACATAGGCAGAGACAGAGACAAAGACAGAGAAAGAGACGGAGACGGAGACGGAGACGGAGATGGAGACGGAGGCGGAGGCGGAGACGGAGACGGAGACGGATACAGGGACAGGGACAGGGACAGGGACAGAGAAAGAGACAGAGACAGAGACAGAGACAGAGACTGAGACAGAGAAAGAGACTGAGACAGGGATAGAGACAGAGACAGAGACAGAGACGGAGACAGGGATAGAGAAAGAGATAGAGGCAAAGACAAAAGCAGAGAAAGAAACATAGACCGGGACAGGGGAAGAGACAGAGACAGAGGCAGTGGCAACGACAGAGACAGAGGCAGAGACAGAGACAGAGACAGGGACAGGGACAGGGACAGAGACAGAAAGAGCAAAAGAGACGGGGACAGAAACAGAGACAGATGCAGATTCAGATCCAGAGACAGAGACAGAGACAGAGACAGAGAAGGAAACAGATGCAAGGACAGAGACAGAGACAGACAAAAAGACAGAGACAGCGACAGAGCCAGAGACAGAGGCAGAGGCAGATGCAGAGGCAGAGGCAGAGGCAGATTCAGAGGAAGAGGCAGAGGCAGACACAGACGCAGAGGCAGAGGCGGAGGTGGAGGCGGAGGTGCAGGCGGAGGCGGTGGTAGGTGCAGGGGGAGAGGTAGAGGCAGGGGCAGATGCAGAGACAGGAAAAGAGGCTGACGCAGAGGCAGAGGCAGACGCTGACGCAGAGGCGGAGGTGGAGGCGGAGGTGCAGGCGGAGGCGGCGGCAGAGATAGGCGCAGGGGAGAGGTAGAGGCAGAGGCAGATGCAGAGACCGAGGCAGAGGCTGATGCAGGGGCAGAGGCAGACACAGACACAGAGGCGGAGGCGGAAGTGGAGGCGGTTGAGGAGGCAGATGCAGATGCAGGGGCAGAGGCGGAGGCAGGTGCAGAGGCAGAGGCAAAGGCAGACCAAGAGGCAGAGGCAGAGGCAGACGCAGAACCAGCGCCAGACACAGAGACACAGAAAGAATAGGAAACAGAGACACAGAGAGAATAGGAAACAGAGACACAGAGAGAAAAAGAAACAGACAGGGGCAGTGGCAGAGACAGAGACAGAGACCGAGACAGAGGCAGACATAGAGGAAGAGACAGGGACAGGCACATGGACAGATACAGAGATCGGGACAGGGACAGAGACAGGAACGGAGACAGAGGCGGAGGCGGAAGTGGAGGCGGTTGAGGAGGCAGATGCAGATGCAGGGGCAGAGGCGGAGGCAGGTGCAGAGGCAGAGGCAAAGGCAGACCAAGAGGCAGAGGCAGAGGCAGACGCAGAACCAGCGCCAGACACAGAGACACAGAAAGAATAGGAAACAGAGACACAGAGAGAATAGGAAACAGAGACACAGAGAGAAAAAGAAACAGACAGGGGCAGTGGCAGAGACAGAGACAGAGTCCGAGACAGAGGCAGACATAGAGGAAGAGACAGGGACAGGCACATGGACAGATACAGAGATCGGGACAGGGACAGAGACAGGAACGGAGACAGAGGCAAAGACAGAGGCAGAGCCAGATCAGGAGACACAGGCAGACACCTGGACAGATACATAGACAGAGACAGAGGTAGAGATAGAGGCAAAGACAGAAGCAGAAAAAGAAACTTAGACCGAGACAGAAGAAGAGGCAGAGACCGATTCTCAGTCAGAGACAGACACAGACACAGACGCAGAGACCGAGACAGAGACAGGGACAGAGAAGAAGACGCGAGAGACAGATACAGGTACAGATACAGATACAGTCGCAGACACAGAGATAGAGACAGAGAAAGAGACAGACACAGACAAAGAGACAGAGACAGAAACAGAGACAGAGGCAGAGGCATTGACAGGGATGGATACAGACAGAGACAACGACAGAGAAAGAGACAGAGACAGAGATATGGTCAGGGACAGGGACAGACACAGAGACAGAGACAAAGACAGGGACAGAGGCAGCGAGAGAGACAGAGACTAATACAGGGAGTTGGAGACCTAGACAGAAACAGTGTCAGATACAGAGATAGAGGCGAATACAGAACAGAGGCAGACATAGAGACAGAGACAGAGGCAGAGACAGTGGCAGAGACGGGACAGGCGAAGGGACAGATACAGAGACAGAAATCGGGACAGAGACAGAGGCACAGACAGAGACAAGAACAGAGACATGGACAGAGACGGAGACGGAGACGAAGGCGGAGGGCCACAGAGACGGATACAGAGACAGGGACAGAGATGGAGACGGAGACAGAGACAGAGACGGAGACGGAGACGGAGACACAGGCATAGACAGAGTCAAAGAGAGAGACAGAGGCAGAGGTAAGGGCCAAGGGACGGAGACAAAGGCAGAGATCGAGACAGAAAAAGAGACAGAAAAAGAGCTAGAGCCAGAGCCAGAGCCAGAGCCAGAGCCAGAGCCAGAGCCAGAGCCAGAGCCAGAGCCAGAGCCAGAGCCAGAGCCAGAGCCAGAGCCAGAGACAGAGACAGGGGCATGGACAGAGAAAGAGACAGAGAAAGAGACAGGGGCATGGACAGAGACAGAGACAGACAAAAAGACAGAGACAGAAACAGAGCCAGAGACAGAGACAGAAACAGAGCCAGGGACAGAGACAGAGACAGAGACAGAGGCGGAGACAAAGTAAGAGACAGAGGCAGGGACAGGCACAGGCACAGGCACAGGCACAGGCACAGGAACGAGGACAGGGACAGGAACAGAGAAACAGAGAGACAGAGGCAGAGACAGAGAGAGAGAGAGAGAGAGAGAGAGAGAGAGAGAGAGAGAGAGAGAGAGAGAGAGGGAGAGAGAGAGAGAGAGAGAGAGAGAGAGAGATAGAGAGAGAGAGAGAGAGAGAGAGAGAGAGAGAGAGAGAGAGAGAGAGAGAGAGAGAGAGAGAGAGAGAGAGAGAGAGAGAGAGAGAGAGAGAGGCAGAGACAGAGACAGAGACAGAGACAGAGACAGAGACAGAGACAGAGACAGAGACAGAGACAGAGACAGAGACAGAGACAGAGACAGAGACAGAGACAGAGACAGAGACAGAGACAGAGACAGAGACAGAGACAGGGACAGAGATAGAGACAGGGACAGAGGCCAGGACAGAAACAGACACACAGACAAAGACAGAGACAGACAAAAAGACAGAGACAGCAACAGAGCCATAGACAGAGGCAGAGGTAGAGGCAGAGGTAGAGGCAGAGGCAGAGGCAGAGGCGGAGGCGGAGGCGGATGCGGACGCGGACGCGGACACGGATGCTGAGATTGGGAAGGTGACGGTGACGGGGACGGGGATGGGGACAGGGACATGGACAGGGACAGGGACAGTAACAGGGACAGGGACAGAGACCAGGGCAGAAACAGAGACAGAGACAGAGGCAGAGACCGAGACCGAGACTGAGACCGAAACACAGGCAGAGGCAGAGGTAGATGCAGATGCAGAGGCAGAGGCAGAGGCAGAGGCAGAGGCAGACACCCAGACCCAGACAGAGACAGCTACAGATACAGCGACAGAGGCAAAAGCAGAGACATGGAGAGACATGGAGGCAGAGTCATAGATCAAGGTTTAGTTGGCCAGAGACGGGACAGAGATAGAGATAGAGTCTGAGACAGATATTCGAACAGAGGCGGGGCGGAGATAGAGATAGAGTCTGAGACAGATATTCGAACAGAAACAAGGACAGAGAAGAGAGAGATAGGTGAACACATATTGAGCCAACAGTAATTTATCCTTTAGAAATATTCTCCTAAAACATACCGGTATGTCTGGCGTCCATCTCCATCTCCCCAAACCTAGAGTGTGTACACATAAAAACACGGATAAAAGTAAACACAATAGCGAGAGTTCCCAGGTTGCCTAGAGTGCTCAACACCACAAGGATGGAGCATTACCACAGAAGGCAGAAGAGAATAGAGACAGCCGGCTAGGTCATTGTTGTAACGCTGCGTTTCATGCACATAGCAAAGCTAAGGCAATCCTCAGGCAACTGAAGTTGTCTGATGATTGCCTTAGCTTTGCTATGTGCATGAAACGCAGCGTTACAACTATGACCTAGCCGGCTGTCTCTATTCTCTTCTGCCTTTTGTGGTGAAAGTAAACACGTGCAAACGCACGCATTCACAAACTGAAGCTAAACACAAGGACAAACATACAAAACACGGGTATTACGACAATTGCACAACTGCACACAAGCCAGTGCACACACACGCACACACACACACACACACACACACACACACCCATGCATGCAGAAACGCACACACGCTCACGCACACACACACACATGCACGCGCACATGCACGCACACACACACATACCATTGGACCATTGGACGGCCATCGCCGGAGGCGGTGATAGCGATACTACAGCAGAAGCCATAGCAACTTGTGCTGGGATTGCACCATTCAACAGCTTGCAAGGCTGAAGGATTGACCACAACTATTCAGCCTGGTCTAAACCACACAGCCAAAACCAGTCATGACTGTGCCGGGTACTGTCCTTGTGCGGCAGCTGCGACTGACTTCTACTTGTTCTACTATGTCACACTAGGAGTAAAGTCTTTTTATGAAATACTTCCTCCGTTAACAAAAACTTCGTGATGGAATTTTGAGGGGCTGATTTGGGCACAAACTGCCGTGAAATGAGTCGCAATCACTTTTTTGGCCTTCCCTGGCATGCCATGACAGAGGAACGATGCAAGGAAAGCGACCTTTCACAACAAGCCGAGCGGAATCGATGGTTGCACTGTGGAAACATAGGTGATGACAGTCATGGCGAGCGAAACTGAAATACCACTTCTCCGAGGGGATATTGCGCTGCTTGGCCTCTCTACCACTTTAGCACTGAGTACGTTGGAGAGTGATAGAGAGCGATAAAACGGAGCAGCAAGCCCACACAATGAGCGAGTGAACAAGGAGCTGCTCCGATCGCACGGCTCAATGAAAATAATTCTGAACTCAAGTTCTTGTTCAACCTGCGCAAAGCCCAGATTCAAATGCTGATGACCATGCATTCTTTCAGAAGTCTGCAGTCCGATGCGAGTCTTGTGGGTAAAGAAAGTTGACTGGACTTGCTAGCCGCTGCCGTTCAGTGCTGGTATCCATTAGAGAAAATGGAATCAGTTTAGCTGTGCCTTTACTCCTCGTTTCGCGGAGTTCCGGAGAGCGAAGATGAAACCAGGGAGTCGTTAAAAAATTTCACGACTCCCTGGTGGAAACGAGTAATCGCCATCACGGCGGATCACGCAGCTTGAAAGCAAACTTACTTGAACGACGGTGACATCAAGCGGAGTGTGATCAAAGAAGCCGAGGCAAGGCTGAAACGAGCTGAACAACGACTCGAGAGAGATGACGACTCGCGTACAGCAGATGACGACTCGCGTTCAGCAGATGACGACAGCGACGCAGGTCAAAAATGAATCGAGCGAAAGCGACGCAAACTGAACTCTCTGCTCATTCCGCCAACAGTTTCTCTTGTAAAGACGCTGTAGATAGGCTGAATCACCTTCGTCCAGTGATTTGCAGTCGATACAAACTGTTCTTGACCTGTTCTACTGTCCATTCAGAAAAAGATGGGCCCTGGCTCTGGCGAGCTCCCGTATTTGGCGATTTTTCGTGATTTCATTGTACACAGTGCAGTTCTGCGAAATTTGAACTTTGAAAAAGAGTCCAAAAAGGGTACCTGAACTGGGGTTCGAACCCCACAATGCACTGTTGCAGGCAGGGTCAACGGCCTGGATTTTGATGTTTTTTTCCAATTCAATGCTTCTGGGGCAAAACCTGGCCGATATCCTATTCTTGTTATGGCTTGCTTTTTGGACAAATAGACTTCAGAAACAAAATTGGAAGAGGATTCCATAGGGGATTGCAGAAAAAAATTCTAAAAAAACTCAAAGTTTGACCGATTTATGGCCAAAAGCTAGAAGTCCATCTTTTTCTGAATGGACTGTAAGCGCTTTCATATCTATCAAAATCCATCACGAAGTTTTTGTTAACGGAGGAAGTATTTATTTCGGGGCCGCATTTTGACACTAGTTCGTTTCTTCTGTTCAGAGACTTTGGGTTGTTTGCACTATTCACTATAGTAAGGTTCTTGATTCTGCATAGGTTGCACCTTTTCGGTTTGTTGAAGTACGCCTGTGCCCTTGTGTGAACATGTCACTGAACAGAGAATGGCGGTACCGCACGTTTCAAGTTCCACACATGGATTGAGAGTTCAGTCTTGTTCTGATACCGTTTGTGGTTGAAGCTCATTGTATGGTTATTGTACCGGTCCTTATTGTACTCTCTATCATTTTACTGTTGCTTGATAAACTATTGATCTCGACAGGCTATCACCATCAAGCAGGCGCTGTGCGGTGCTACGGCAGTTACATGTCTTGGCAGGGGGTTGTGGCTGGCATGTAGGCGCTGTGAGAACTCGTGTTTTATTCCCGTAGCTATGAGAGGACATTACTTCAGTAACGTCTGGCGCTAGCCAGAGTCCCAACAGCTTTAATTTGATGTTTGTTTGTGGCGGACGGACATCCATCTGGCGCTATCCCGTAACTGTCCCGTTCCGTACCCTACCATCAAAGACAGCTGGCCACAAACAGCTGGCCACAATATTCAAGTAGGGCTTTCAAATGCAAGATCACAACGTGAAGCAACTTGGAAGAATGAGTATGAATGCGAAGTGTATCGGGTAATGCATGTACTTGGTCCGCGTCAGCGATATTGTCGCTTATCTTTCAGCTTTGTTTATATGTCGCCAAAGCTCACTCGGCAGGCCATTTCATCCCAAATTTGGTTAGTAAGTTAGTTTACTAGTACCTGAAAGGTCTAGCTACAGTTCGAGTGGATTTCGAGAGCGACGGGTGGGTGATTCTGATTGATACAGCGCCGAATCAAAATAGATTATCTTGTTACGCTGTGCAGGCAAGAGCAGCGCAAGCCACCACAAAGTAATCGGCTACTCGGAATCAGATCCATTTTGCTGAACGGCCGAGATTGCTCACCTCAGGGATCGCTCGTCAAGCTGAGATCTCAGCTCCCTTACCTCCAACTCAATGCTCAGAGTATCCAGCGCGTCGTGGAGATTTGTAAGTACTCTATGCGTCGTCGTCGTCGTGCAAAATAAAATCTTGCAAAGAACGGCGTCTGATTTGAACCACACAGGCCGTCGTACTGCCCACACAAAGTCCTATAGAGAAGGCGACCGTCACCATCGACTTCTGTTTAGAAAATAGCCAGGCAGCGGTGAAGAAGAGAGATGAGCTTGCAAAAGCAAGAGAGTCGAACGCGAGCAAAAATATTTGTCACCAGCGTCGAGAGCAGCGACGAAGAAGACCGAAAAAAGTAGGAACCCTTCCTTGGACTATAAATTCATTACAGCTAGTTGTTATTCTATGCCTTACCGTCCATCGTACCAAGTTTTATAACTTAAAGTGCACGCGTTCATGTCCAAAGTCAAAGTTCAAATTGTCGAAAGATAAGCGACAATATTGCTGACGCGGACCAAGTAGGGCGATTGTGCGCGTTCAAATCCCAGGTTATGATTGAAAAAAAAATGAGAATTGAAAAATTTATAACATCCCTATGATTTTTTGCCTAGGTCAGTGGTGGTGAGGTTTCGTTAGCTCCGCCGACCAGATTTCTCGACGTCATGGTCACCTAGACGCACCAATGGCTTCACCCCGGGCTTCCATGAAAATTACTAAGAGTGCTCATTGCATGTAATAATGCTACTTTATGCGAACCTCAGTTACTTGATACTCTGACATGTTTTCCAATCGTCAAGAAATTTGAAAAAGCTACACATCTCTTTGGATGTAGTGTGATCAGGACTATCAAGTTTCAAGGCTCTTGTCGCGGTGTGAGTGCGCCGCAAAATGAAATGAAGGTGTCCAGAAGCCAAGCGATTCTCAGAAAGTGTTTGTACCTTGGGCATACAGTACTGTCGGGCGCCGAAGAACGGCCAGGCTAGAATTTCATCAAACACAGCTTACCAATGTATACACGAGGACTCAACTGCCCATCGATTGTAGTACATGAAAATATGAACGGACTAGGCTAGGAGGCTGACCCCCAGTTCTTCGGCGACCGACAGTACTGTAATAGCATAACATCGCTAAGCAGTGCAAGAAGTCATAATACTCTGCAGGACAGCGATGACAGGGTGGGAGGTTGAACAAGAGAGACAGGAAGAGAGACAGAGCCTCAATGAGGCCGGGAATTAGATATAGAGAGAAAGGATGAGGGTGACTGAAATGAGAAGGTGCGAGAAGAAGAACGAGTGAGAGACGGGAAGAGATGGTGCTAGGGCGCCGACTCAGTGGAAAGGGTAGTGGAGGCAGGGCGGGAGAGACAAATGCCTAACACCTTGAAGTACCCAGAGTCCCGTAATAACTGGCCTCCTAACAAGAATCAATTGTCGGACAAGCTTACCGAAGAGCTTAATGCCGGTTCGTCCAATTTGGTCTCCTTCCGCCTCTCTATTGTAATGGAAAGTTGGTTACGTTCCAAGTTCCAGGATTAAGTTCACCGAGTAAATACAACCACAACGTAGTTTGAAAAGCTGACGAATCCAATACTGAGCTAAAAGCAAACTCGGGACTAGATGTCTCTTCTCTATGTCACAGCTTCCTTGCAAAAAGGACAACGAGGAATAAGTAGGATGTTTCAATTGTTTGTTTGTTCCGCAAACAAAGATCTGCCGTGGGCCAACCCATCCGCGACTCGGACTGTAAGATATACTAGTACAGAGGTCTTACAGTGCTAGTGACAGTCATGTCAGTGTACTGCACGGCCGTGCTAGCTCTTGCGCATGCGCAGTGAACGATATTCTTTTTTTACGAGATGGCTTGGCTGACGCAAAAAGGAAAACTTTCCATTACTTGTATCGGTTGTCTAAATGCACTTTGAACTGATAACCCCTCCGTCAGACATTCCATATTCATCATTACCTGATACAGTCATGTGCAAAGTTAGTTCTGTACAGTATACATGTACTCATGTACTTCCAAGATTGCAAGAATCACTCATCAGTACTCAGTACTACCAAGAGTAGATAAACAAGAGTGTGCAACTCCGGATCTTTCCTGCACAATCTGCAGATAGCCAGATACCCCGCCCACGGCGGAATTTTTTGTTGAGGTCACCTTTTTTCGTAGAAACGCGGACTTTGCCGCAGAGCAGTGTGAGAGCACGTGCTGGGCACCGACCTTGTAGTGTAAGCCCGGCCAAGTGCACGAGGGAAACCTCTCCAAAAGGCTCGAAGCGCGTGCGTCGTCGAAAAGATTACGTCAACAAAAAATTCCGCCGTGGGCCAACCCATCCAGTCCATGCGCCAAGGTTAAGGGCCAAAAATGACCCGAATCTTTATGCAAAATGAAGATGACGACGCCGCTTTTTTCGACTTTTTCTGTGACCAATTTTGAGCAGAATCATCATTTTGATCGTCTTCGATTTGGCATGGAAGACTTTCATGAATGCTATTGTAACTTGGCCTGCTGAGGGCTAGGATAGTCCCTAAACAAAATCTGGAAGCCGTTCCGCCAGAGATTTTTCCGTCATGTTGCAGCAGAGCCACTTTTCTCAATTTTGCGTCGTCCAGAATTTATGATTTTTGGATGCCAAAATACTTGATGGCGTGAGAACCAAAAATGAACTACCGGACACCGTCCAGACCTCAGGTATGTATAGTCCATTGTCCTAGGCTGCTCATAAAGCAGAAATTGTCTTGATAGTTACTTGCCCAAAAATTTGGCGAATTTTTCCTAATACCCTAGTTGCCAATGCACGAGAATCAGGAAAACTGGTATGGCTGATGAATTTCTGATTTTCTTCTCGTAAACTTGAGAAAAATTATCTACGATGTTACAGATATTAATAGGTGTTTTGAATTTAAACAAATACACTTCGAAAGGCTGATCACGTTCTCAGATCAGCTGCAAACGAGGGTCAAAATTGTAGTTCAGACTACGCGGCGATGTCCATTGAGGCACTTCACCCGATTTTGCAGTTCATACATGGTAGTCATGGGAATTTGGGTAGAATTAAATAAGTATGTATGCACTCTTATTTACTCCATAGACAAAGACATGTTCTGGAGTCTCATGGTGTTTGGCAGGCGCAATTATTGCTTTCATCGTTTCTCGGTGAATTAACTCACTCCACCATTCCACACTGCACTCTTAGCCGACCCACGCCGCTTGCACATCACCAACACAACGGGGACATTCCTGTTGAGATATTCCTGCCCCGTAAGTCAAGAAAAAAGGACAGCATTACAGTGAACAGACCCTGACAAGAGGACCATATCGTAATGGCCCATGCGCTTATACACACGCGTTTGCCGTATTTGTAACTTTTGCAGGTCGATTGGTCTCACATAGAGGCTCGCACATGTGCTTGTAGTTGTGTTACCAGTATGGAATGTGGAAGCTGTGCATTAAACCCTGTAAAAATGGCATATGGTGGTATCAGAGTGTCGTGGTCCGTGGGATTGGGTTCACCTATGAAGTACAAGTAGGGCTGAAACGATTATACCGATTACTCGGTCATTGATCAATAATTCCTCAGAATCAACTTCATAATCATTACGTTATAGATTACTCGTTAGGGATGTTCAGTTCAAAACGTACTGGAAACCCCGTTTTGTGAAGTTTGAATTAGTTTCCACCGTGAGTACAGTAGTTCCGCGCATATAAGCCCATAGGCCTATATCCGGATATAAGCCCACCTCCGTTTATAGCCCCATGGGCTAATAAACAGACCCAAACACCGTTACGGAACCGATAGTACAGCATGTCAGTGCAGACTACATTACCAGTTCCGGTACCTACGGTAGGCGGACAACCGAGCACGGACTTGTATTTTTTTGCGTGCCAGCTTCAAAATTCGAATATAGGCCCAGGGCTAAAAAACGAACCATTATTACTGATTTTTTCCGGGAAAATGCATTATTTCGTATATTAGCCCATGGGCTTATATGCGCGGAACTACGGTTTGCAGTTGCCAGGGGTATGGCTTATGTTCTGAGGTTCAATTGCATTCAGAATACATTGTAGTAGTTTACATGTATACTAGTCACGATGCTTATGACTAGGTGTGGCTTTTCATTTTGTTTTTGTCCATGCAGGAGTCAGGATTATGCCATCTACTGAACATTGTCGCATGCGTTCCTATAGAGCAAGCTGGCTGCTCTCCATCTTGATTATGGACCTCAAGTGTGGACCCAACTGGTTAGAGAAACGAAGGAACAATCGTCATGGTGTACTCTCAGGCCAAGGATATGCCTTGTGAAATGTGCCATGTGCAGTTACTAGAGGGATTGTCTCATTCTTTTTCAAGCTGTTCGGTCACAGGCAATACTGTCACATCCCATGCACGGCTGAACTGGTTTTAAGTTAACCCTTAGCGGTGCATCAGTCATTAACGACTGATATTGTGTACGTACCGTAAAACTGTCGTAACTCCATCGATTTTAGTCCTGTTGCAAATATCGAAATATGTAGATCAAAGAGGAAGCTCCAAGCTTTCCAATGGTGTAATCGCTTTTGCGATAGGAGAAACGATGATAAAGATATGGCGCTCGAAAGTTGGATCGCGGCACTAAATTGTTCAAACGTCTCAAAATCATTTTTTTAAAGAGTACGTGCACATCCATGATGTCCTTTGCCGAGGAATGCGGTCCAGCGTTTCGAACACAGCACGCTGACCATTTACAGCTCGTTTGTAGTGGATTGTGTGGGTTTGGTCTGGTGGGATTCGAACCCGTGTTTAAACAAGCCACTGGAGACAGATTTTCAGTGCCTCTGTCTTGGTCGAGGTTTTTCCAATCATATTCTGTGCACATATGGGTATCCAAGTGCCTATCGAGTATCATGGTCATGGTCACTGCATACAGATCCATGTGGCTCTCGAATATGGACAACAGTCTTCTGTTTGATGGCCAGGCCTGGTGATGTTGTCCTGATTTGGTCACTCTATCTTATGCGGATATTCAGTGTGTAAATGCTGGTGCTGGCTAGACTGTGAAATATGGGGAATGACACATGTGCTTTTCTCAAGATGCTCGTGTAGAATTCATTCCCTTTGACCGAAAGCTTGTGTTCCCGGATCCTGTTTGTAGCTGCACACAATTTCTCCGTTCTTCCTTGTGGTTAACTTTCGCCTCCGACTATCCCTAACCATCATCTCATTGGGGCGTCTGTCCATGACGTGGCTGGCTGGCATCGGAGTTGGGCACTGCCCTGTCCTCCACTGGCATAGTGTTGAAACTAACTGACTTGTATGTCACATACTAGCTGGAAGTTTTTAAGGGTTCGGTTTCAGTCTTTTTATAACTATAGTAGCTTTACCATTCCTATTACTTAGCTATTTCCTTTTCTTGGCCTTAGGACACTTTCTTCACCATACACTGTGTTTCTTTGGCCGTAAAAGAGGCAGTCTGCACTTGTATTGAGTTTCCTCATTTTGATGGAGATGGAACTTTGAAGAAAGCACACATATTGCACTTCCTGCCTGTGTCTTGGCTATAAGCACTTTCAGCTGCTAACATGTGGTTGATTGAAACCAGGGTGTGCCAGATTATTGATCAAGAATGCATGCTGCAGCTCGGCTGTTTTGTTCCTTTTCTTATGTAGATCTACAGTGAAGGAATCGAAATCGCATGTAACGTGCAATGTGTTTGCAAGGTAGATAATGTAAAGCCCCCCCCCCCCCCCCCCCCCCCGGAATACCTGCGCTCGAATGTACTATCATGTGGTCCATGTGCATAGTCATGATAATTGTATTGGTTCAGCGCTGTATTCCGGTGTATGTGCTGAAGTTGTTTACAGGTAGAAATTGACGGGGGCACACCAAGTTCTTTACATTACATGTACATGTACAGTAGAGCCTCGTTAAAGGGGAAGTTAAGCCTAAAATCAAATTTTCACCAGGTGTAGTCTTCGGGGTGCTGAGTCGAATGGTCTTGGTCCGAGGAAGCTGAGACGCTCCCTTCCTTCTTTATTCCCAAACGAACTCGTGCGCCTCCACCGAAACTGGGTGACTGCGCCCTACTAGATGGGGATTTGTATGCGAAATGTCACTAAAAGCGCCCAGTCACCAGTCACCTGGTCACCGTGCCTACAGGCTACAACTAACAGCATGTTTGAGCAAGTTTCTGTCACTCGAGTTGAACCTTTGAGTTGAACCTTGGTGTTGTAAACCACCAGTTCTCAATTGGGAAAGGCCTTCGCGCTTATGGCATTGTATTCGTTGAAATGTTGTATTTCGACTCCGCCGTACCGCTGATGTTGCTGCATGGCATACGCTATATGCGTTGTGTGCGTTTTGCTGTATACGCTGTTATGTCCAGTTTTATCTGCTTATGTTTTGCATGTACGCTGTTTTTGCATGCTATAAATAGCTGGTGTTATTAGTGTTCATTGTTAATTATTCGATGAAGTGAAATATACTGTGTAAAGGAAAAGAGTTGTCCTCGTGCCGTGTGGTCGTACGATCCTGACAATTTAGAGAATCTTAGAGGGTTCATAACATTTGGCGACCACGCCAGGATAGGAGCGAGCATGGCAGAGGAACTATGGAACAATTTGGAAGCCAGCTTTATCGACAATGGAGAGCGGTTAGGATTAGAAGGCGAGTTGTTGAAGGTACATGTGGAGCAGAGGCTCCAACAGTACGCGGAGCGTGAGGAGCGCAGTGCCAGACGGC